TCATCTATTTGGTCTCCTTATACTAAAACCAACATTGACAAAGTTGAGATGATCCAGAGACGTGCAATAAGATGGGTTAAAAGGATTACTCCCCTCACTCTAGTGTCACAGCCATGCAGGAAGAACTGGGCTGGCGATCCCTTGAACATCGCAGACTGGACTGTAGACTGATAATGTTTTATAAGATATACCATAACCTAGTTGCAATTAATCTCCCAACTTATGTTCAAACCCCACATAGATTAACCAGACATATGCATCCCTATCCCTACGTCAAATACAGGTATCCTCCGACTACCATAAGTACTCTTTCTTCCCTCATAGCATTATACTATGGAATAAACTTCCTAGTAACATTGCCACCCTGCCCAACCTGAGTCAGTTCAAACAGGCAGTGGTGGGTTTGCAGTACTAGTCTTACTCCAGTCTTTTTAAACTATTTTATCTCTTATCATCTTGTTTCACTATTAACATTTTAACCATGACTAGAATACATTTTCAGTCTCACCTTCCAAGCATGTCAATGTTTGGACTTTTCTTTTTAGCTTTTCTCTTCACCTTTTACTAACAATCCGACGTGCACTAAATTCCTGCCTTTAACACTCGTAAGAGGGGTTGGCAGTATCCAGAGATAGATAGATTTGCATGTAGATTGGATTCCTTGTTGAAGATTAAATACTACTGTAAGATAAATACTGTTGCAACAACCTATCAAAATTAGTATTCGAGATTAGCATTCCAATCGCCGTAAAAGCATGTAGTGTTTAAATCATATAAGTTTAAAACTGAAATTACGTAGAGAAATGGATAGATAGAATAATAGATAACATGACAACAATAAATAGAATAACAACTAACACAAAACCTGCACATTGACAGAGACACACTGTGTCCCAGCTTATGGATGTGAAGATTGACAAGTACATGATCTATCAGGACCACGTGTAGCAAACCAGGTGACTGTCTTAGTAACTGTTGCTCCAGTTATTTCTGTAGACAATCCATTATTAAAGCAATTCCATGTCAATATTGCTAGTGGATTTCCCCCTTGATAATACATGACAGTTGACCTTGGCTATTTTCAATGACTTTGTAAGAACTTCCATTTGAATAATTTTGTATATAAGGTGCACTTTCTGGGCTATCTGTAAATAAACGATATCAGGACATGTACAGCGGTAAGAAATATGATCAAATGTAAATCAATGAGTTATATTATTTCTATAACACATCGCTCATAATCAACTCAACTCGTTGCAATAAATCAGTTTTTAAGAAACATAAAAACTTGTAATATTTGCATATAACACACTTCCATTGAACAAATGCATAACGAGCAAGTATTTCAACAGATGGATAATTGTTCAAAACATCCGACATTCAAATCACTGGTTATATCTTTACAGTCATACACGTATTGTGAAAATGTCTTTTAATGGAAATAATTGAGTGTGTTTTCAAAATAAAATTATATGTACGAATGAAAGAATGAAGTTTTATTTGTAATCTGCATTTTCCAGTACGTATAACTATATTTCTACTGCGTTGCTAACGCAGCAAGGGTTATTTTTGCATATTTTGACCAATTATTAGTAATTTACCTAGGTTGTAAGTGCCATTGATGATGTGTAAATTGTATTCTTTTGGTAACTTTACAATTATATACTGTTAACTACATTTTCAAGTTTTCAAGAAAATTAACATAAATCTGGAGATGTGCTGCTTTTATAATTTTGAATGTTTGAAACTTCTACTTTGAGTCGATCATATTCAACGACTAGTGTTAATTTAATTGAAAGAACTAAAAAGCTACAATATTTTCAATTTGTTATAATGTTTTTTGGCAAGTTCGTTGCTGTGAATATACTGGATCATATATCATGTTACTAAAAATATATTCTTATACATGTTTTTTACACCAACTTGCGCTATTGTGTGTTTGACAGTAAAGCTTACACTGAACACCCATTTGAAATTTTGTTGACATCACCGGGGTTCTTCCTCCTGGAATGTTTAAAACTTGGCAGTATATATTATATTTTATCTGTTGTCATTTATTGATGGGGTATACTTGAGCACACTTGTCGATTTTTCTAGATCACCAACACTTTCTGTTGTAGAAGAGACTTCACTTGTCACCTGTTTTTTACCAGATATCATTATACCATGTTATATTTGCTGCAGGTCGTGAAGTTGATATCTCACAGGTAAATATTGTCTCAACATTTTCTCTAATTGCTCCAGTAGGTGGTGTTAAACTTACACTGTTTACAGACACTGTAATATAAATAAAAAGTGGTTATAAAGTACTGTTTTATGTTGTTACAAAGATAAGTCAGTAAATTGGAACTGTGTCAATGTAAAATAATATATGCCAAGCATTTGACCGTGATTTTGAGGTCATTGTTCGTAAGATACGATATTAAATCTTCAGCTGTAATTTACCCAGAAAAAACAAAAACCCAGGAAAATTTTTTATCATATCGGTCTACCCGATTAATACAAATTTGAAAGCAAAGACACCTCTCGGTGCTCAACAGATATTTTATAACATTATTAGGGTATGACATTGGAATGAAAACAAAACAGCATGTAAACTTTCACTTTATATACATCATACAAGTATTTTGTACAGGGTCGCGGTATTTTTCTAAAGAATTGTGAGTCTTTTCATTTCATTTCATTTCATTTTTCATGAAAATATGCTAATTAATAATTTAAAAAGAGGTTTATATTAATAAAGCAAAAATATACAATATACTTGGATTTAATATATACATACCTATTATTGAGAAAGCGTTTTCTAAATTTCAAGGCAAGTCACAAAATGATGGTTAAAGATTCTAGTTCAATAATACCCTTTATTGTATGTTTTAATACATCTCTGCTTAATATTGGTGAAATCTTAAATCAATATTGTAATCTATTACTTTTGTCTGATAAAGAAAGCGTTCAGTATATACATACCAAATTCAAACCTATTTTAGCTTATAGACGTCCTAAAATATATTCGAGCTTATCTTTTGAGAAGTGCTTTACTTGATCGTACATTTTTATCTATCCAATGTTAACGAAGTAGATGTTCACATTGTAACAATATTATTGTTGGTTCACAATTTAATTGCAGCATTACAGGTCGTTCTTTTGATTTACATAATGATGTTAACTGTACTACGAGTAATGTAATTTACCTCATTGCATGTAAAGGCTGTAATAAGCAAAACGTAGGTCAAACTAATCAAAATGTATCGTGCAGAAATAATAAACATAGATTTGATATAAGAAATTGTAACGTTAATCCAGTTTCACATGTTGCGATCCATTTCGGATCACCTGAAACAAATTGTTCATTGTCAGATTTTTCATTTTTGCCTATCGAAATTATCGATAACAACATGGACCGTTTATGTAAAGAATCTTTTCGGATCTATGATTCCAAATGGACTAAATAATAGTTTGTTTTATTTATAATGTCTTAAATGAAATTATTATGCTTTTTTCTTTACTCTTATTTTTCTTAACACTGTCTTATAGAAATCTGTAGCACCATTGATCCATTTTAATTCATGTACCAGCTTTGTTTATAACATAAATATTTGTTTCTATATGTTATCATATTTTGCCGCTAAACGCCATAACGTTTTCCGCGCGTTTTACGCGTGTTCCGTTATGACGTGGCTTTCAGTAATTTTATTATGTTTTGCACTGATGAAGGCATATAGCCAAAACGTATGCAATAGATAATTACTGAATATTCGAGTTTGTGTGGCCCGTCAGTTTATTTAACAGTATATATATAACTGTTGACTGAAATGGCATAATATAGAGGATATTTGTTTGTTTGTGTGTAAGATGAAATTTTATTTCATCGAGTGGGCTTTAAAAACAGTATTCTCCACGAGTGAGAATACTGTTTTTAAAGTTCACGAGATGAAATAAAATTACATCTTACACAACAAACAGACAAATATTTATTTTATTTTATGCTTAAAAACAAGTGAAAACGAAATTTCCATAATTTAAACGTTAATATTAAAATTTGTTTCCCTCATTGAGAGCCCAATTTAGACGGAATTTCACATTAAAAACAAGAAGTCTTGAGCTGAAAAATAAGTCCGCCAATCAAGGTTAAATCAAGGTTAAATGACGGTGATATTTATTCATTTTATTAAAAAAATATGAATGATCGCTTGTTTTAATAATAAAAACAAACAATTCTTGTCGGAGAAAAAGTCCAACCATCCATCCATATTTCTGTTACTTACTGCGAATTTATATTAGACCTGGCTTTGTAAAATGTAAGCGGCATCCATTTTTTAAAGTTGTGTATTTCATGGGAGGAAAATAATTGTGTAAGATTCAGAGGGATATAATTTGGATTTGTTAGTCATACACCTTTTTAAAAGAAAGAAAACTTATTTGAGGATTGTAACAGACAAAAAATAAGTGTTGACAGAAGTGAAAACATTCAGAAAAGGAGCTAGGAAAATGGAAAACTTGAAAGCTTGCTAAGGAACGCTGGGTTGTTTTACTTATTCTACGAGTGATGGCTGTCAATGCTTTTCAATTTTTCATAAAGCATACGGCAGTTATTGCTCGTAGGATACTTTAATATGCCCAAATGTCATCAAGAGCAGTTTTGCATTGGGAACGAATGTATTTTTCAGACTGTAAAAACGAAACAAAAAAATTTAGAGACGAAATTTGGTGATTGGAATTTGAATGAATAGAAGTAAGTTTTCTCCATTTATTACTTTTGACATTTAAGTTATTTATCTATTTTAGCTTTGCTATTTCTTTTAACAGCCTGACATTGTCAGAATTGTCAGTAAAAATAAAATTGAGGTACCACATGGGGAAAATCTTAAAAAAGTAGTTTCGTCATTGAAAAAAGTGAAATTATATTTTCATAATTTTCTCTGTGAAATTATCAAATATAATTTTCACGGATAAATCAGTAATCCACTGAAAAGCATAAAATAAAGTTATCTTAATTGTTTTTCCACTATTATTGTTTATAAAAATGAAAGACTATTACCTTGAACTGTTACGGTAACATAATTACTGTATAAGTATTCTTGAGCAGCAACTGCACATTGCCAACTGTTACCATTATTCATGTTGGAAATCTGTTTAACGGTAAATGTTGCCTGATTTGTAGATAGACAGTCATATTCACATAATGAGGAGTTTGGTGGATCACGAAATGGTGTACATGCTGGTGATATGATAAGGGCAAGTGTATTTCCATTCAAAAACCATGAAAATCCAGACACTGTCTCACTACCAGTGTATGTACATGTCCATGTAAAGGATTCTCCTACAGCTGCTAGAGCAGGCCATGGTGTCAGTATAACATCAGCTTTGACCGCAAACAAACCTATAATTTAAATATCAAACAAATAATAACTAAAAATAATTAGAAATTTGCACAAAACTGTTATCATACAATTACAATTTTGAAATGATGATTGAATAGTTAGAACATGTCAATAGACTACAAAATGTATAAAAGTAAAAATGCGCGAATTTATATATATATTTATGTAATAAATGATATAGAATAATCACCACTGAATAATACAAATGATTTTTGGGGAGTTTCAGTTTTAGAGACACGATGTAGCGTGCACACAAGTCGATAATAATTTGAGATGGTATTAGATCACATCACGATTGTTAATTTATATCCAATTATCAGACAGGTAATGTATTTCTGGAAACTATATTTTCAATTGACTGTATCTGCTTAATAGGCATTCTTCGAAATGTATTAACATTTGTTCTATTCATCACTAAGTTCCATGTGTATATGTTTATATACCTTGTTTATCTTACTTCGCACACGGCAATAATCTCTACACCTCATTCATATTATCTATATATGTAAACGAATAGGTCACTCGTATTTATTTTAGATCTACTCCCATTCCGCGAGAATAAGAGGATACGTAACCAGGAGCTCGGGTTGAATACAAGTTTAAATTCTATCTGGATATATGAAGTAAGTTTTCTTTTAAAAATCTCTAAATTCATCTCCAAGTATTCTTTAATTAACATGTGTTGTTTTTAAATATGATCATGTTGTATATATGTTCACACTCATGTTCGTCTCTGAAAGTTAAAGTGATTGCTTTTATTCCCCAAAGCTTAGATATATTCATGGCGGAAACCTGAAAAACCGGGTCTCCGCTTAACCTGGCTTCTTAGCATGTCAGGCACAAGAGGTTGTTTGTTCTTTTCAAATGTGCAACATTTATTTAATTTTATTCAAACCATGATCGATTGTTCACTCCTGTTTTATCTTTTCAAAAGATTTTGTAAAAACATATTTCATCCTTAATGTTTCCAGGTACTCAAAATATATACAGTTTTCTGTAAAATCTTAACAAAGCATGGCACACATAAAAACGCATTCGTTATTAATATTATCTAATTTAGTTATAGAAGTTGTTGTCGGGATATATACGGGATAATATTGCCGCCAGTCTAGCAAGCCCGCGTAGATCAATCGGTTCAAGCGCGAGACTTATGACCTCGACATTGATTTAAACAAAATGATAACTTGAAATGCTATGAAACAAAATTATTGAATATAATTTGTTCCGACTTTTTTTGCACTGTTTATTTGAGCAGTCTGAATGTGTTATGCACTAGTACAAGTTGTCTGTATGAAATATTGTCAAAACTTTTTTCAAAAGTTGCTTTGTGGTATTACCACCTTTGTCATTAATATGTCCTGACATGTAATATAACAGAATTACTCTTCAATGTGCAAATATTTCTCAACAGATTTCGAACAAATGTCAATAGCATTGTTTGTCACCAAAGGCTGTAGTACATATTATCAGATGTTTGTTTGAAAAAAATTAATAATAATAATACATAAACAAACTGAATGTGAGAGTCAATATTATTAAAATAACTAAATTTAAAATTGAATAGTAAAATTATAGTAACAAATAACTGAGGAGACGGATAACTATATTCAAATAGACTATTGCCTTGTTTTCATTTAATTTAGTATAATCAAGGCATTTTTAGATTCAGTTTAACACTTCTTAATATATCAAGTACATATATACATAAAGGTTATACAAGATAACAGATATACATTTATATATTGACAACCTCAAACTGTTTAATATATTAAACGTATTTTTAACACAAATAGCAAGTATTCATTCATAAACTCTGTTTAACAATCAAAGAGTTACATATATGAAACAAGAGCCCGGTTTGAGCCGGGTGATGCTCCCCGAATAGGTTTTGGACACAATAAAGTACACCACTTGTAGTTTCAGATTTATGTCCCTGGAAAAAGTTCAAAGTGCAATGATTCCAAGATAAGGCAAGGCAGAGTTACTGTTCTTTGCACTGCACTTTTAATCAATGTGATCTATCAACCTACAAAGTTTCTTGTTCTTATCTCTTATGGTTTCCGAGTTATGTCCCGGACAACTTCAAAAAGTAAAAATAAACAAAGGGCAATAACTCCTGAATTAGGCACAGCAGAGTTATGATTCTTGTGCACTGTACATCTACCTATTGAGGTATATCTACCTACAAAGTTTCATGTTGATATCTCTTATAGTTTTACAGCTATGTCCTGGACAAGATTTTTCTAAAAGGGGAGATAATTCAAAAATGAGGCTTAACAGAGTTATAGTTCTTTTGCACTACATTTCTACTTAATGAGATCTATCTACCTACAATGTTTCATCTTGATATCTCTTTTAGTTTTAGAGTTATGTTCCGGACAAAGTTCAAAGTGTTAAAATTAACAAAGGGCAATAATTCCAAAATTAGGACAAATAGAGTTATTGTTCTTATGCACAGCACATCTACCCATCGTGATCTATTCACCTATAAAGTTTCATGTTGATATCTCTTATAGTTTTAGAGTTATGTCCCGGACAAGATTTTTCTATAAGGAGAGATAATTCAAAAACCGGGCAAAATAGAGTTTTGGTTCTTTGACACTGCAATCCCTCTCAATGCCCTCTACCACTGTATGAAGTTTAAACAAATTATCTCCAAGGGTTTTCAAGTTATGCTCCGGACAAGACAACGGACGGACAGACGGACGGACGTTCTAACAGGAGAGTAATAATGTGGCTACTCTATTGTTCTCTCTTTTGTTTTTTTAGCCACACAAAAGAAAATAGCCACATAAAAGCATTACGGAATGAATGACATCAAAGAGAAAAGAACAGTTACCTATTGTCCCTCTAGCCACATAATTACTCTCCTGTGAGTGCGGACGGACGGACAGACGGACAAGGCGCCGACTATATGCTCCCCTGAAATTTTTTGGGGAGCATATAAACATATTAATTATCTTCTAAAGATTTGAATGTATTATTCAAAACATTCCAGAAAGTATAACTCACATGTTTGCAATATCAAAATTCCAAAGAGCATTTTTAACTATTTATATTCCCTCCTAAGCCAATAACTTGTTTATACAGGATAAATCAGGAAGTAAAATATGTTAAACGCATGATCTTATTTATAAAGTAGGTTGTAAACATTTAGTCGAATAAAAAGTCAGGTTAAGATTTCATGATATGTTAATCTAAATAAATAGATTATTTATTGAACAAAAAAAAACTTTTTCTGTGTTTAAGTGCAGATATACGTATATATAAAGATCGATTAAACAACAGTATTCTCATGTATTTCAAGAGCGTTTCTATATGATTTCTTTCGTACAAATTTATTGCGTTTACGGAAACTGATAAAATGGTAATTAAATAGTGTATGTGGACCAAAAACCACACATTAATACCACATCCCAGCAACTCCTTATCACAGCCTTCTGATATTTGGTATACAGTATAAATAGATAGTTCCGTACCGTGGGGCTTGATAACAGGTCTGTCGCCCATCCACTTCTCGTTTACCGACTGTCAATAGTAGAAAATTTTCGTAACATCACAGCCTCATGATAATAGGTATACATAATGCTCTCTGAACCATGTTTTATTCTCAGATTGAAAACAATAGGACAGGATCATGATACTTAAAAACTGAAGTCTCGTTATTAACTGATGCCTTTGAAAATTTTTAATGATTTATACAGAATTGTTTCACAAATAACAATATTATGAAAATGTGTCTGAAATATGATAAAAACTGTCTTTCTAATTATGTATTCCAAGCAGAAAAAGAGAGCTTTATCGCTTTTTAGCTACCTACAAACTATACCAATGATACTGTTTTATAGTCTCCTGGGACATAAAATGTTTTCTACGGGCAGAATATCACAATATCTCATTAATATTAAAAGCATTTAATCCTACAGGGGTTTAACTTAATATCAATGGAATACAAGAATATCTAAGTTTTGTTCAGTGATGCTAAAAAGGAAGAATTAAATTGAAAACTAATAAAAATCATACAAGAAGAGAATTAAAAAATGTGACAAGGAAGTAAATGAACACAACATCTTATTATTTCCAAGAACAAGATTGATAACAATAAATCATTTATTTTGCTGATTATGGCTTTATTTCGCTGGTACGACGGGAAATAAGTCTGATATACTTTATGCAATGGTGTTATACACTTATAATTTAACAAAAACCCTATCTTGAAAATGCTTTAAAAATAAATGTAATTTTATTTTGTTTATATTGAATATCTTTGATTTGTGATATTGAATAAAGTCTATTGTTTGTCAATTACACAATTGTTGTCCTTGCTTTTGAAATGTCTGGCAAATGTGATACAAACGTAACTGCTGATGATTTTAAAGAATCTTACTATATTGTATTGTTGAAAAAAAAACACTATATCAAAATAGCATAAATACATTTTAGGTAATATTTTGACTGATAAGGAATAACATGTCAGCAAACGTCTTAACGTTAGTATATTTAAGTACCAGTTAGGAACTTTTAAGCAACGTAATGCTTGGGCAAGTGAATCGTTCTAACAGAAATTGACATAAATGATGATAATGATACAAATATGCCGTAAGATTTTAAATGATAGACGACTAGATAATGGTTAAAATAAGATGTGTTTATCAATTTTCCTCCCGTGTGCATAACAAACTGTCAATTCAACACAAGGCCAAAAATAAAATGAACAAATATTTATAAAATCAAGTTGTATGTCAATATTTTAATGTATAACTTGAGCATTATATTCCCCAGACTTCTTTTTTATCAGTATTAATGCTAGTGGAAAACATATTACACTATTCAGTTAAACATGACACATATCAGATTAACGTCATTGCAGTGATTTTTCTTCTTTTTAGTTCGGTTGAAGGGAAGGAAAGGCGAGACGTATTATATATCATGCATTTTAAAAATCTGTCGTCTCCTTATTATTATTGAAGGTTTTTAAGTTCATTGTAAAATAATGTAACATTTACTCAGGTAAAGATAACATGACATTCGGAAATGCTAAAATAGTTTAATCCACCGATATGTGAGGTGCTTGCAAGTGCCTGTAAAAAAAAGAACTCGTGAAGGCACACAATCATGAGGTCGCCACGTGTAAAGCTGGAAGATCAATGTACGGTGTGACTTAAAATCCAACAAAAACAGTTGGCATATCAAAATAATGAACACAACATGAAGAGATTAAACTGTCAGATATCATCTATAAATTTGAAGTCGGAACAAATACAATTCAGATAAAAAGGCAAAAAGTAGTGCACAGCGAAACAATCTTTTACGCATTTTATAATATCCAGGTCAATAATGTAAAAATTGAATGGTATCTTTTTCATATAAAGTTTAGTTCTATTAAGGGGGAGTAAAATTCATTTTTTTTCAGGGGAAACAACAAAATTGAATTCAACTGTAGCAGGGTTAATATACCTTAGAATATTTACTTATTTTGATGTATGTTGTTTTTTTTTATTTTCAAAGTGCTTAAATATGTTAAGAAATAACCAGTTAAGCGCTGACATTGTACTTATATGTTAGTAATTTACACATACATGTATATGTCCTTATCTGAGAAAAGTAACGCGACAGCCGCACAACTCATTTAACGGGACATTTTTTAAAAAAACTTTATGGTACACCAAAATACATAAGACAAACATGGATCATGCCTAAAATTCGCCGAAACTAGATGTAAAACCTGAAAAAATCACGTCATTTGAGCAATAGAAAATAAGATAAGCGCAACAAATTTCAGTTGCTTTCTCAGACATCTGAAAAATGAACGGCTTTCTGATGCTGCATATTAGTGATTAGTCATTTGTCAGAAGATTTGTTGCGACTCCTTTGTTAAAGAATGTATAAAATTTCAAACCATATTGATAATTGAGTCAAATTGAAATAAATGTCTTAGTTATACTTTTTTCCCTTTGTTGAGAAAACTTTATTTTCCCAACTTGGATAAACAGTAAACAAACCAATTGTAATAAAATGTTGAGTGTAATAAAATTTAAGAACTTATTGATAGAAACAGAGGAGTTTTGATTAATGACACAAGTACAAATTTAAATAACTGTTTTGAAATAATTTCAAACAAGATGGTAAGCAAAGAAATACGCATTATTTATGAAGTGGTAAAATAAGAAAACATATTATTTCATATGGTGTTGACATAATCTGAAGATTTTTTTTTAATTTGAAAGATAAAATAACATTTATTTTGATGACTATTATATACTTTCTTGGCGAATATACTGTGCTTTGGGTGAACACTTTCTTCTCACGATGTCGTTTACATTAACAGCATTTTATCTAATCGGGAATAGTCTTACTGAAATCATATGCGCTAATATCTCGTCTTTCTAAGATAGTGGGAACAACTTTATTATAGTTAAAAGCCAACACTCAATCGAAATAACAATTTTTGATCCGTGTTATTGTAGTATACATTACTTGTGAGAAACAAAAAAATATCTTTGTAACTAATGTACCTAATATAACTAAATCACACAGGAATTCGTCAATTCTATAAGATTTTCTTTTCTTTATATTTTGTATAGAGTGTATAAACAGGCTGTCAGTGAAAAGCCAGCCCGATTTTTATCAGAGTTTGAGAATGAAACAAGAGCCTGGATGATGTAAAATGTGTTAAATTCAAAAGGGCCATATTTTTTATCTCCAAAGTCCATGTTAGAAATTATCAGTAGTGGCCAGTGCCCATTAATGCTCTCAAATTAGTGTATGAATTTCAATCATATCCCCTGAATATTTTTAATGGATATACTTGCAAATTTACCGATTTCCAGGGGAGTACAATTGCTTTCCTTTTTCGTTTCGAGAATAAAAGAATGTGAAATAAGTCACAGCAGAGACAAATAAAATGTCAGTATTGATGATAAGAAATGAAAAAAAATGCATTTAAAAACTTGACATCTGAAAAAAGACAGTGTGTCCCATTTAGATTGACTGTCCGCTGCTTTTCTACATGACATAAGCTTAGTTCTTCAAATATAGTGATTATTTTTATAGTAACACGTATATATAACACATATAGAATAATCAATATATTACTGCGTACTGTATTTGATATATTGTATCTTGTGAATATTGAATTTCCTTTTATTGATTTTTGAATTCAAAAGAGCATATTCTTCAAGTTGATATTTTAGAATAATGTTCTTCTGTTTTATTGTATTATCAACTTGTTGTTTAACAGACATCACATACCTTCAATGGTAAGAAAACAATTCAGATAACAATAGTCAATAGATTCTCTTTAAGAAAGAAAAGATGACCTAAATATTATTTAGTCTGTACAAATATGAATCGTAAATTTACAAGTTAAAATCATTTATACTCACATGCTCTCATAAGCTGTATCACTAGTAAGCTTCAATAAAATCTATTTTCTGTCATTTTGTTGTCAAATTTCGCACAAATACTTATGACATTTAAGAACAAGGAAGGATAGTTTTATTATTACCACCATCAAACGATGTTTAGTTACACAGGAAGTAGTTTATTTTTTAACATTAAACGAGTAAGAAGTATAATTAACCATATGAAAAATACACAGATATACTGCTACATTTTAAATAAGCAATATTATTATTGTTATCATTCATCATCATCATCATCATCGTTTACGTAGCCATCGTCGTTGTTGTCGGTCATGTCGTCGTCATCATCATCATCATCAATATCATCATCATCATCATCATCATCAATAATATCATCATCATCATCATTATGAACATCATCATCAACATCATTAACATCATCATCGTCATCACCATTATTATTATTTGAATTCGTTGAAGCTCTACCGATCATGAAAATGTCAAAAGACAGCCAAAATATTTCAACTTATACCTGAACGTTGTAAGTTTTATATATTGCAGAACCTCACTGTTTTTTTTATAGAAAGTTGATGAATCAGTAGTCAATTCAATATAAAGTGAATTGGTTCATTATGAAAAATTTGCTAATCTATAAAAATATATTGACAGTTTTGAGTATCATACGTGACAACAAAGTCAAACATAATTATATAGTTAGATTTTATTGACTTGTCAATTATGAATACATTATAGCACGCACTTAAATATTCGATCCCACTTCGATTCTGTCAGTACAGGTTGCGAGAATTAATGTGGAGTTTATAACTAACCTTTGGAAAACTCCCACTAGCTTAATTTATAGCTTCTCTTAACATCGACAATATCACAGTTTGTTACGTGATTACCTTATATATGAGAGGTGCAAGGTTCGATCCATTCTTTTACGAGGGGTGTTCAAAAAGTTTTGAGACTAATGTTCTATCGTAGAAAACAACCATTCAATTTGCAATTCTTATTTTTAGCCTTTCGATGACAATCGTGTAAAATTTCATTGAAATCAATTTATGCGTTTAAAAGTAATTGTATATTATTTATCATATACTCGAATACACTGGTCATTTGTACACGTAAATATGAAACCTAGTGAAAAAATAGAAATTCGAGGATACATAAAAGTGCGGCGTAGTTTAGAAATAACTGCAGAGAAGATTCTAAATGAAGTGCATAGTCACCTTGGAATCAATAGTGTATCGAAAAGCACTGTGTACAGGTGGTTCAAAGCATTTACTAGTACTAAAGACAGGAACCGTTCTGGCAGACCTCAGACAGCAATCACTTCCAGAAACATTGCTGCTGTGAAAACAAAAAAAGATGATGCTCGGTACACGGTACGTGAGATAGCTTATTATCTGAACTTATCAACGGGTACCATTCAGACCATTCTGACGAAGGAATTGAATTTAAGAAAAGTTTGTGACAGATGGGTACCCCATCTCCTGACCAAGGATCAGAAAAAGGAAAGAGTGCGTCTTGCGAAAGAAACATTGAAAAAATTCAAAAAGCTAGATTCAAGGAAAATAAATGAACTAATTACGGGAGACGAAACATGGATCTACTATTTTGAGCCCAAGAGACGCATAAACAACAAGCAATGGCTCCGCAAGGACCAGGCTAGACCCACCATTGCTAAAAGGACTAAGAGCGCTAAAAAAGTGATGTATGCGGTTTTCTTTAATTCGCAAGGCACTGTGGTACAAGTTGCAGTTCCAGGAGGGAAAACTGTCACTGGAAAGTTCTACCGGGATAAGATTTTGAAACGTGTCAAGGCGTTTTATGAAAATCGTCGCCGAAGAACTGGTTTAAGAGGGTTGTACCTCATTCATGATAACGTTTCATCTCATAAATGTGATATAGTACAAAGGTTCATGGAGGAAGAAAAAATTGTACAAGTGAAGCACCCCCCTTATTCTCCCGATCTAAGTTCGTGCGACCTTTTCCTTTTTCTTGAAGTCTGGACGGCGTTACGAATCACGCAGTGCGCTGGGATATGCGCTCTACCAGTGCCTTTTGGGTATCCCCAAGGGAAACTACTCTGACGCTTTCCGGAGGTGGATAGATCGGCTTCAGAAGTGTATTCGGGTTCGTGGAATCTATTTTGAGGGATTAAAAAAATCAAACAATACATTATTGAGTCACTACAGATACATAATCCGGTACTGCTTACTTTATATACACGTAGTATCCAAGAACAAACTATTATAATTCATCATATAAATGTTAAAACGAGATCACATAGAACTGGATCACATTTTCTTTCAAGAAATATCTTGTATGAATACCTAAATGATACATTTCCATCAATATTCAAAATACTTATTTAGCATCGTAGACCAAACCGCCCGTAACTAATTTTCTAACCAATTGTAATGGTGAAGCATCGAATTTGAATTGACAGAAGATGAAAAACATAAAACACAATATAAACACGTGTTACGACAACATTGGATAAAAGTAGCATACCAATAAGTAATGTTAACAATAAGAAAATAAGTTTTGGTTGAACTTTTAAGTTTTGAAGTTTATCTTAAATTCCGATAACATAATAAACGGTTTATATTCTTTATTCTGCCAACAAATGATTATAAAAATAGTTTCAATACCATAAATATTTGATCCTTAAACTCACGCGAGTATGAAGATTCAAAGGGCAACATTACATATTGACGAATTAGGCATAATAAAGTGTAAAAAATGCAATAACATAGCTCTATATTTAATGAGCATTGTATCAAAATAATAGGATAGTGATCGTCTATTGTTTAAATATTGTTGGCCATAAATCATATGCGTTAATATAATTTATGAATTAAAATATATAAATGACAAAGGACAATTAGGATTTTTTATGTATGCAACAATGTTTTAAAGACATAAACGGACCTAACGAATCTTCTTCAACAAATTGTAAGATGTTTTATTTCATATACATTTGTATGTAATTATATTTTTTCGTAACAAAACAACTCCGATATAAAGGTTAATACTACTGATATATAGGAGATATAAATATTTATAATATACTAATAAATAAAATATAGAGAAATATTGATGAAATAAAATTCGTATTTTCATTTTCCGATTTTCACTGCAGTCTACCATATTTTCCGTATTTTCACTGCTGTGGAACATTTTTTCATATTTTTACTGGTGTCTTGTCGGACTTCTTTTCAATTCAGAAATATGCAAAATTTAAAGGCCATTCTTTCAAACTGTGAGAAAAGAGAAAAATGTAAACAAAATTCAAGTTTATTGGTATAAATAAAGGATTTATTTTCATCTCGTTCAATTATTATTTCACTAGTGGCTACAGCCGCTCATGGAATTTTTAATTTCATACCACTCGATGAAAAAGTTGAATATCCTCTATATCTTACAGATAAACAGCGACCTTTCTTCATTTTTGTATAATTTACGATACAACATGTCAAGATTTTTTACCTGCTGTAATGATCGTGTCAACTTCATATATTCATGAAAATATCCAGCATGACAAAACTCATCATTTTTGAGAAAATTTGATTAAAATAATACACTATAACAGTCATTTCTGTAAATTAAGAAAAAGCAAGATTCAAGCAAAGGTATAGCTCTTAGAGAAGTTTATAATTAAGAAATAATATCGGTCTTAGCGGTGTTTTTAACACAGGTTTGGAGTTTTGATGCGTAGGAATTGAACACGAAAGCTGTAGGCCTGAGTGGTTAAAACCGGTGTTAAATAGTCGATCAAGACCGCTAAGACCGATATTATTTCGATTCTAACACGAGAAAATAAGGAAAGTCACTAATGTTACTTTTTCAAGCGGAAACATAACTTCCGGTGCCGATTTTCGAATAACGCCGTTCGATTGTCGCACCCTACTGTTGCGAAGATATAGAAATTATTAAACAAAATAAATGATAAGAAAAACACGTTATTTTATCAATTAAAATTTATGTCGTATTGTGTTTACATCAGTGCTTCATTTATCATTCTTGTATGTATGAAATAATGTAAGCTTGTTTCTGAATTAGTTAACTGTTTTGGGATACACTTTTGCTTGTGTCCCTTGTTGTTTTCTCGTCTACGGTAAGTATCTTCCCCATTGCCTCTAGTTTTTATTTCTTTGATTAACCCCCCCCCCCTTCTCCCGGTCTCCTGTCCCCTTCCCCTTTGTGGGCCTATTATTATTTTCTTTGAATTCCTAATCAGTTACAAATTGTTTGTCGTTTAATGATTAACGTGTCGTTGCCCTGTCCTTTTTATGTTTGGGGTCCGCCTGGGCTCCTTGCCATTGGTTCTTGTTGCTGGGTCATATGGGGGTTGCGTTCATTGAACGCCGCCTTTCCTTGTTGATCTTGTTTTTCATATTTTACTTAGGATGACGTCATTACGCTGCTTACGGATTGGCGCCGTTTTGTCAAAATAAATTAACTGATATGGATCAAATATGTGGTGTTAGTGTATGTGAGACATTTCGGTATTGTATTAAAAGAAAACATTATAGGAACTGAAAATATAGATAAAAAATATTTTTATTGTTGCTTTAAAAGGCTTTGTAAACTTTATCATGGAGGTTCGTTTTTGCAATTAGTCGTCAGGTTGACAGCTTAAGAAAACCTCTGAGACATAAGATACATCTTCGAAGAATTTATTCTACTTATTGGCCAGTACCATGTTAATTTAAATAAAATGGTTAAAAACCCAGTCATGCTCGTTTTACTGATCAGATACGAATTTTAATGTTTAATTATTCATTCTTCTTACCGAACAACAAGCTATTGATATGGAATTTTATTATACAAAATGTTGGACATAATCCAAATATTGTAAACTGTATTTCATAATATTCTTTCATTAATGTATTTACATTTTACTGATCTTTAGTGTACATGCAGGCGAAACATCTATTTTTTGAACATTTTAATCATCTATAAATATTGGATAAGTTATCCTTTAAATGATAATGTATGTCTTTTAGGTTTTGTTTTAACTTTGATATCAACAATACTTTGAGCTTTTTTTTCAGACCCACCATGATTTGTAAACTACTGATATCAACAGCTGTTTTCCACTTTGCACACGGTAAGTTGTAGGTCACGTGACCATCATTTATTGTTATATTTTCCTTCAAATAGCACTATATAATCTACCGAATAATAAGAGGTTGGTACTTGGTTGATGCTCGCCATTTGCCATTATCGCATATCTGTGAGCAATATCCATGTATATAATTTACGTCTTTAAATAATATCTAAAATATGCCTGCAATAAAATATCATGAGGTGTGTTGCAACAAAATATCACGGTGTTTAAACACCACAGCTTATATTGGTCGTCATCCTGTCTAAGAAACGAACAGTTGTCAGTGTTAACAAATATATGTCATTCAGTTTAAGTTTTCCAAACTAGTTGGACACTATTATGTGCCTAGAAACAGATTTCACAAAATAAAGACGAGAAAAATTCACTCTATTGTTGTTTATGTTCTTTCTTTGTGACAATGTCATTAAAAGTTGTTCTTGTCAGGCTTGGTGGTTGAATGGATCCGGTGTTTTCAAGTCACATATCAACACAACTCCATATAGATGTCCCGCGTCTCCTGATTTAGATATTTCCCTTGTATTGTTGATGTTGGTTTCATATTGTCTTTAAAATTTCATATGATATATTTGGAGATACAGCTCTAGATCTAAGTTATAACTGATAGACTCTTTGTCTTCTATTGTTTTTAAAAAAACTTTTGTCTTCATGTCTACTTTCTATCTGAAATTCATGTAATTTAAGGGTTTTCTGTTGATCACCTTTTGCTCTGGCATAGTTATTTGAATTTTTGTCTCAAGATTAAAGTCTTTGTTGATTTCACATGATAATGTCATGCTAATCTAAAATTTTGTCTGCACGTAACTACAAATATTTCAACTTAACGACAATAGCAATCTTAAAAATTCACTGAGAGCTATTTGCGCACGTGCGCTAATTCACTCGCCATTTATAGGAAAATAATGCCGAATAGCAAGGCGACTGAAATTGGATAATGACGTAGTTTTTGCCATAATGACCTTGAAAAATCCTACATTCTGATGCAATATATAGTAACCTAGGTATTTAAGGTAAATTAAACATTTTCAATCTGTTTAAAGTGACGATTTCTTTATTGATTCACTATACATTTCGAAGAATAATACTAAAATAAATATGGAGTCAACAACATTAGTTGTATTGAAATACTAGTGACTCAAATATACGTATTTATTACAGGTATTACCTTAAGTTGTGTTCCTGACGTGCCTGAAAATCACTCAAATATATCATGTACCTGTACAAATACAACAAAAAATGGCATTGAATGGCGACGTAACTCGCAAATTGTTACAAGATGTTCAGGAACTAAAGATAATTGCTTTCCGCCTTCCCTAAAACACAAGTCATCTGTTTCTAGTGATGAATTTTACCTGGAAGTTAGCCCTTACTCATACAAAGATTGTGCAACATATAGTTGCAAAGACATAAGCACAGCTGAAGAAGTCTTTGCCACAACATCGATAGCAGGTATTGTGACTCTGTTTATCAACAATCAAAGAAGAATATTGTTGCATATCATTTTCGAGAAATAAACACAAATATAATAAAACCATATATTCGCATTGTTTATAAAATTAATTGTATTATTTGAATTTTGTTTAGCAAAAGCCTTTTGATTCTTGTCTTACAGGTAAAGTTTTCTTTTATTTTAAAGAAACCGAAACCTCAGATCTTCCCCTTTAACTGTTACATATTTAAGCATATTGTATTAAAAAATATTTGCAAGACTGATCTACCTTTTCGGTCTAAAAGCTTTTTTAACTACATATTTTGTTTTGTTTTTATTTTGCCAAGTTTGTTTATGTCAAAGATTTTTTTTCTTTACAATTGCAGACTTTGACAAGAGAAGTATTACAACAGAGGAACCTGGAGCTAATACAGATGGCCAAATTATGGTCAATACGGGATGCGTTTTCCCAACATCTAACATAACTGTTACATGGTACAAAATTGAGGTAGGTTGATAGATGTTCTTCATCTATTTGCAAGCACTTTTCTAGCAATTAGGACTTTTTTTACTGGAATTGTCCTTAGAAGTGAGTATTACACTAAAGTTTATCACTGCAATTAACCATTTATCGTAGCAATAGTGACTGTATTGTAAAAGAAGATACAAAATGAAGTCGCTGGAACTTGAACCCATAATCTCAAAATAATAATTATACCTTTCCCTTTAACGTTTACTCAATAAGTCAACTAAAAATTTATGCAAGTACTGTTCTGACATTTTTTTAAATAAAATCGCCTCTATAATTTGACATACGTTTGTAAGTATACTTAGCAAATAGTAAGGAAAAGAAGAGTAGTGTCGTTTCGTTTATTATTTTGGCCCGTCTGTTATATATTGCTGGGTTCCTTGCCGGTGATCTTGCAGTGGGGGATGCGGTCATTAAATGCCGCCCTTCCTTTTTGATTTTGTTTTTTAATGTTTTGTTGGTGAACTTACCGAATTGTCTATAAGGTTTTGTTTATGCCTGTCATTTACTGTTAATTACTGTTATTTAACTGTAAATGACAATTGTATCTGACTCCTGTGTGTCGTGTTCAGTGGAACAGAGACATGACATCAAGTCTGTATTACTTTAAAGTTCAAAGCACAATTGTAGTCGGAATGTCACAAATTAGTCAAGAGATGTTTCGTTTGCAAAGATGCAGTTCGAAAGTGGTCTCAATTTTGCTCGTACTAAGCAACAAAACGGCATCTTCATGGCTACGTGTTAGGAAGCCAATTATGCGGCAACTGCAACGACAAAGACATTTCCATGACAATGTTTCTTTGTTGAAACGTTTTTTTTGAAAACGTGCTGTTAAATATAAATTCCGTTAATACTAAATTATCTTATCTTACACCTTACCTCAATAATGTTTCAAAACACGCAAACGAAAAGCTGGAAACAAAGTGATCCCTCGGAAGCATTAATTACAACATAATTACATTAAAATTGAAGACTCAGTTTGATTGAGTCAGTACATGAAGGATTATGAATAAATGCAACATCCGTCACACCACATGGATAATACTAAACTGCATACCGAAATGTATACTTGCCATTTGTAGATGGTTGTCTTGAACGGATAATATCATATTTCAGACGTTGAATGACAACTGAACAACAATATTTTCGACTCCAATTTTCGAAAAGCGGAGCTATTGTAATGACCCACTGGGTTGAATTGAAGGCGGCGTTGGAGGCGGCGTCAACATTTCTTACTTTCGGTAACAGACAACAATTTTAACAACCTTATTAGACGTTGATGTACCTTGATACATTTTACCGGTCACACACATTTTTTTAAAGTAAAAAATCATTAGTTTTGTAATAGGATAAAGATTATGGTCCATTTCTCAGAAACTAACAAAGCTTTCCACTACAAAATTGGAATTTTGTTTTTTAATCACAATGTCAAAAAAATTCGGACAATTTCGATTTCTTGGGAGCTATAAGTATAACAGAAATATGAAAATTGAAGACTAGGTTTGATTGGGTCTCTACATGAGGGATAGGGAAAAAAGCGGTACTTATATGTCAAAACATAGAAGTGACTGAAACACTAGTATTTGCATTTAATAATATTTAGTCTTTATTTTGTAATACTAGGATATTAATAACCGCTGGATACACGCTACAGTAAATCGAAAACCGGTATTCGATTGATACATTGTTTTGAATGTTCCATCATTGGCATTTACTTGGAAACGGTCAGCAATTGTTTCTTGAATTTAAATACAGGAGAAAATTGTTTAAATTTGTTGTGATTAATACTTCCGAGTGATCACTTTTTCTCATTTTCCTTTTTTTAGATACTTACTTAAAACATTCAAACATACAACACATCAATCTTAATGTATTTCTAATATAATTCAAAAATATATTCCATTAAACAATTTATTTTCTCAAAAAAACTATTCTCAACCTAAACTCAATCTCAAACTAAACATGTCCTATATTTCCCTAATTTGATATTTCATCAGTTTCTTATTCTTTATTTCTCACCAAAAGAAATAAAAATAAAATAAATAAAAATACAATTCGAAAAAACATAGTTCCTCATTTGCCTTACAAATATAGCACACGTAATACCGGATATTTGGAATTTCTTTGGCCCGAGAGGAAACAATAAAATAATAAAGTACCTGATATATAGGATGTATAAGAAAATGTTACTATTATTAGGACACAAGTCTTTCCCTCATTTACAAAGACATTTTCAGACTTATCTAAATACCAATTTCTCAAACGTCCTTTTTTCAACAGAGAACACGATATCGTAAGCACCAGACATCTGAAATTTCTGCGTATCGGTAAATAAAATACTGCTCTGATCCTCCTCACGGACGAAACCAAACTGACCCTTTCGCACGTATGGCTGTGTTTATGAGTTTGTTTACCCTCGCCACCGCTTTTTCAATACAAATGCTTTCTTACATATCGTGTTGAGAATAAAACAATGATTTTGATTAGCTCATTACAGAAAAAATTATAATAATAATACAAATAATAATAATAATGATAACAAAAAAAAACAACGTTTCTTGATACTGATTCTAACTTAATCTTATTAGCCTCTGAAGATGTTTTACGTACAAATTATTGTTAAACTGAAATATAAACTGATCGAATGATCATTCCCTATACTAAGACAGATTTAATAGTAAAAATGACTAAAATATCTACTCTTTACATCATGATAACTTTATTTATAGATTTTTTTTCCTAATGCAAATTGCAAATTTCGAAAGGGAAGGAAATCAGGTTCAAAAATTTTCTCGTCCTTTGAAATCATTGATTCCAACACATAAAGTGTTGAAATTGAGTACTTTTTCGTTATTTCTTATGTACAGATTCAATCAAACCGTGTCTGCAATTTTAATGTTATTTTGTTGTATTAATTGTTTCGATTGATCACTCTTTATCCCAGAAATATTTTTTGCGTTTCCTGGTACCATACTTAAATGGTTCCCTTAGGGAGCGTGAGGGATATGTAACATCTATTCATTATCCCTCATGTACAAACTCATTCAAACCGAGTTTGCAATATTCCTTTTATTTTATTGTGATTACTGCTTCCGGGGGATAATCCCATTTTCAGATTTTAATATTCACAACAACAGATGTCAAGTTGTAAAAAGTTGTCCGTACTTCACTTTAGTGCTGTTGTTTCTGGTCCATCGCAATCAATGATCCAGATACAGTTAAAATTTGACTACCGCTTAAGCCGGTGGAGGGGAGTTGCATCTTTCTTAAGCCCTCATTATACAGACCAAGTCTTCAATTTTCATGTTATTTTGTTGTGATTAATGCTTCCGATTGATCACTATTTTACCTTATTTCTTTTCTTAAAAACGAAAGTCTGGGACAGAAGTGATTTTTTTCGAATGTATTTAAAAAAATAAAATTTATGACAGAATGGAACAGAAGAAGATTTTACAGCCATACAATCATCAGAAAGGTCGAATTGTTCACGTACATGCAATACAGAGACAGATGAAAAAGTTGAAAGTGGATTTACTCATACTGAATATACTGGTTCCGACTATGTGGAGGTCGTCTATAAGGTTACAGTCACACACAACTTATACATAGACGAAGTATTTACATGGACGTCATCGAAATACCGACTTAAAGCAGGTACTACTAAAACTGTGTGTCTTCTTTTTGTTTCATGTATTCCAAGACTGCGTTTGCATATACATGTATTAACCATAATGTCTAGCATAAATATATTATGTAACATATCACGTAACCGCGCTTTTCAATCATTCAGGCGTCATTATTTGTATAATATTTAGTTCAAAATTTTTTGCACATTTTTTTTTTCATTTTCAGTTCAAAGCCCTTAAAACTATTCAATGTAAACACAAACCATGTTTATGCAAAGTTCAAGGCACTAAAACTATTCAGTGTTAACCTTTTGTAAATTGCATATTGCATATTTGTAGCCAACGTAATGACAACATACATGTCTAATGACATTTCAGCATAAATATATAAATTAAATTGATTATGTGTGTTCTTAATATCAGTACCTTCAACTTACTTAAACAATTAGCAATAATACTTGTAATTTTATAAATAGAGGCATACGATGGATTAAATTTAGTTGTTGGCCACATTTTAGTAGGATCTAGTGCAATTATGAATTGCAGGTGAATTGTGACATAAAATTTCATTCTATTTTTTATGTTAGAGAACGAATAAATATGTTACAAGTTGAAAATTAAATGCTTTGTTGTTGTAAGCTTGACTTTTAATATGGAATTTTGATTATATTTTGTACAAAAAATGACGTTTTCTAGGACAATCTTTACTAAATTTTTCTCCTATGTTTAGAAAATATGAAAATTGTTTTGCATGGACCTTGCTTGGTTGTGGTTTTTTAAATGTTGAATTCTGCTTAAGCCGGTGCTAGGGGACGTGGACGGCAACTTTCACTTTACAGTACCGTCCATTAACAGGCTCAATCAAACCGAGTCTGCAACATTTTCAATTTTGCCGTGTTGGGCTTTCTTTAAGGATTCTTATTTTCTCTATTTTATCGCCACGTCAGCGTTGTTTGTGCCGTGTGGAGGCTGTAAAAGGTCGCAACGTACATTCAATCAGAGATGTTATATTTCCGATCCTTAAAGATCGTTCAGCACGACATAATTGTTGTGCTTGTGGTAATTTAGTTCTTTCTATTCGGCTATTTTCTTGTTGGGTATTCCTCACTTGAATACTGTTGAATCACCCTTAGGATATGTGGGCTGCTTTTTAAATTTGTCTTTTGACGTCTTATCTGTGATATGCAGGCTTCATTACATCTGATCCCCTTTGTAAATTCCATTTTATTTAGTTCCGCCCATTGTTTTCTCGTTTAGGGCACACGCATTATTTTACTTGGGGACCATATGCCGCTTTTCATGAAATGGCACTTACGTGTCACATTGAAGGTTCTATGATATTTACCGCCATATGAACACATCTGCGGATGTTTCAAAATTCAAAATTATACCATTTTCATTTTAAATGTTGAATTCTGCTTAAGCCGGTGCTAGGGACGTGGACGGTAGCTTGCACTTTACAGTACCGTCCATGAACAGGCTCAATCAAACCGAGCCTGCAACATTTTCAATTTTGCCGTGTTGGGCTTCCCTTAGGGATTCTTATTTTCTCTATTTTGTGTACTGATGGGAGCACACATAATTTTGAAACAAACATCACCAATATAAAATGAACTGAATGACTGTCGTCATGTAAGGTACCACACCACAACCAACTCCATATGCCGGTCCTGCATCTACAACAACCAAGTCTCAAGATATAGAAATACCTGCTTTTTTATAGTTCAAAGTCTTGTTTTTGTGGTTCTGATTCTGATTATCATAACCTGTATACAATTAAGGAAATACACTAAAAGAAAGATGATTAACGGAGCTGGCCCAAATACTAAAGATGCTAAGTAATTATTTCCAATTACATCATAAATGTACCAACAAAACGACAAAGTACTATGACAATAATGATGATTTTTTTATTAAGAGCATATGTCATGCACAGGGTATCTTAAGCACAAAGAAAAAACACACACAAACACAGTATGATTGAAAAATGTATATAGATGAAATAAATTGTAATATGGTGATATGGTTAACCATTGTTCTGTAAATCTGAATAACCATGGCTATATCTGCATTTTGAGCTTGACTATATGAAGTGTTATGATAGCTGTCCTACTCACACGGTGTTCGCGACCAGATTTCAGATTTAAGTTTTAGTATAGTAATTTTTTTTTATTATTACCCACACCTTTTTCGTAACATAATTTCCCATAGGCCTCTGGAAGTTATTCTTACTGTTAATGCAAGTGTACCACCTGACAAAGAAATATATACTGTTACATGCGTTAAGTATTTTTCACAGTATATAATCTGGTCACGTGGTCTGTTTTCTAAATACAATGGCCGCCATTTTTTTCTCGATTCATTGTTATTTTCGAAGTTTACCACAGTAGGGGATCACAAGAGCTACTATGACCACCATTAAAATTTAGATGCTTGCACCCTGGAGTGCTTTTCGCGTATAAAATATCTATTTGTTGAAAAGTCCAAAAGTAAACATCCGTTTTCACCGGAATTTATTGCAATATAATTAAGTATGTGTCAAACTGGGACATACAGGCTTGTAAAGGATTATTTAACAATTTTAATCAGTGAAACATTACAGATATGCTGGGCATACATAGGATTTCGTCGTTATTTTGAAAATACATAGGTCAAAAACCATGCGAAGAATATTATGGATACAGAAGGATCAGATTTTACTGATCATAACCGTATAAATGGGTTTGTGTTTTGTTTTCTAAATAAAACACGGCTTATTTTATGTTTATGACTGGTAGATATCATCACTTGCTTAAAGAATAAAAGAAAAACAACTCAAGTAGGCTTACTGTACAGTACACTTAAAACTTAAAAGTTGAGGACAGTTTAGTTATTGTTACTCTTGGTTTATTTTTGTTACAGTTAGATTTAGTTGACAATTTCATATGAACACAGTATTTGTTCGGGGTAATAAAATAAATAACACATGGGTTTGTGAGTAACAGTAAAAATATCATCCCTAGTTAAATACTGTTACCCTCGGCTACGCCTCGGATTTTAGTATTTTCTCAGGATGATATTTTTACTGTTACCCACAAACTAGTTCTGGCTTCCAAAACTTTATATGCCGCTTTTTTGTTACATGTGATGCGGCATTAAAGTTTTGGATTAGACCCGTTACGAAACCTATCCAGAATAACAGAAGTTGATTTAACCTTACTTTATAGCTAGTTCAAATCTTTTTTGTGCATTTTTCGATAGAACAATTATTTTTTATATTATTCTTTACCATTTAAAGTATCAAAATCTTAATACCGTTATTAAAATTGCCTATTTAACTGTAAAACAACAATTTCGCCGATTACAGTCGGTCATGGCATTTAGGAGCTACGCGAGACCTCGTAGGACGTCATTCGCGGGAACCGATTAAAGTAGAGTCCTCACGTGAACTATATTTTGAACATCTTTGTTGACACGATTTCAATATTTATAATTCAAGATAATGTTTTTATTTATTTTCTTTAATGTTTAGTACTAAAATATGATAATATTGAATACAAAAGTCAGTAAATCACCTTTTTCATTACCTTAAAACATGTAATTTATAAAAATGTTTAAAGCACATGGGTTCTGTTTTCTTAACCGTCCGCCCAAATTAACCCGTGAAGGACAAACTCGTAATCACGTGGTCACACAATTTTGGCAATATGGCGGCCAGGTGCTGATTTTCTTACCTGTCGGAAATTATTAGGTAGTTTATGTTCGTAATAAGATTTTTATATGCCCATCCTTGGCTTATTAACATATTATACATAGTTTTATCAAGGTATGCTTCATTATACTTCATGGCGTGTTCGATGAATGAATACGAGCGTGTCAGATTCCTGGCACGATTATTGGTGGACTTTCCCTACGGGTCTGTCTTCAGCGGTCACGTCCATGTCATAGTATATAAACGGGTACGCTGAAGACCTTTAGCTACCGACAAACCAATGTGTTATTGATATACTATTACTTTTTCATTTGTTAAGGTAAAAACTTCAAACTTCAAATATATAAATTATTATCACCCACATTATGTAAGACAGAACTCATAATATGCATGCATATTTTCTGAATTATGCCCCGTCCTTGAACTTGGCGTTTGTTCTCTTACTTCTTTATTTTTTAACGATTTACTTTAAACGTAAAAGTCACGTTTCATATCATCTCCCATATGATTATAATATGAAAGGTTCATAAATCAAATGTTTATATTTAGAATAATCTTTCAGTTAAAATACTTCAAGATCTTTCCTTATCTTTTTCTGTTACTACTTTATTTCTTCAGGTATTTAAATCAAACTTCAAAAATATGTTTCTAATCAACACATTTGTCATCTTGTTGGATTTATTACAGTAGCTCTAGTATTTTCAGAATAATATCATTATGGAATTTATTTTATAATAGTAGTATATTTTTGTACGCCCGTCAATATAACATATTACAAATATTCACTGCAGAAGGGGATTTAGCTGTACTTCAGACTGCCTTGTTTATGTAACGATGTCTTTGGCAGGTAGTTTCCTTCAATGGTCCTTTATGTTTGTGAAATAAGGGGTCACTATGGTCAAGGTTACCTTTTTATAATAATGTTATTTTTTTGCTCTTTTTTCTTTATTTTTAAATTCATTTTTTTCGTGTTTAATATGGACATTCTAGGGACATCCTGTTCCTTTGTGATTAATGAAGGGGACAATGTAAAAGAGAGTTTTAATTTTTTTTTATAAACAAAGGTTAACTTTATTCAATTGACTGAAGTCTTTTATATTTGGTAGGAACATGTAACTTAGGAATCTTTGGGTTTTTTAAAATGGAGCTACGGTCAATCTGATAAAGGTCACCTGTGCTAAAATAGATCTTTTTGCCATATATTTTTATTTATTGACAGATGCCTTTCATATTTTCATTCAGTTAGGGTAGGGGTCAGTGGGTCAAGGACAACTGTGCTAATAATAGATTTCTACACATTTGCTTATACATTCCTTATTTTTGGCTTGATGATATTT